AAGAGAACAAGAGAATAGATAACAAACTTTACTGAGTAACTTCTCAATACTCGACATAGAGTACTCAACATCTTCAACAATCGCTCTGACTTTAAGGTTGCCCGATATACTCTACTACTACTCTCAGTAATTGAGAACCACTCGATTTGATATCGCTCAGTATTTAAAAGTTACTCCAGCGATAAACTCGAATAGCGCTCGTTAAAATACTCTGAGTAATCGAGAGCTACTCAACTTGCAATCGCTCCGAGTATTAAAACTTTTCTTCGGCTATACACTCGGATACAGCTCCTGGATCTCGATTCATCGTTGCCCCGTTAAAGAGTGTCTCGTGTTTTGGTGCTGGTTGACTACGAATGTTGTATAAACAAACGTTTTATTAAACACACTTTTTAAAAAAAATCTGTTGATCATTGTCTTTTGAGAAGTGTGGGTGGGTTTCAAAAGGCCCGGGATTTCTTTAAGGCAAATATCTACTGTACATAAGATATGACGGAGTTCTTAAAAGTTTTCTTGGATTAAATTAAGGATGGCAAAGCGGTGACCGTTTATTCAAATTGGGATTCAACAAACTGTTCCTCTTTTGAGCAAAATTTAACATTGAAAGCGTTTCTTTTGTTACACGCACAAAACATCAGGCTACTTGTTGTCAGGTATTGTAATTACAACAATAGCTACCTCTCGTCATTGTCACTACGCATAATTAATCTTTTTCAAGTTCAGTTGCATTAATTTATGGCAAACGATTCGTTCGAGCTCACTGCGGTGAATAAAATGTGGCGTCAGTTGAGGTTAGAAAGGAAAATTTAGAAACTCTACTATAATTTAATCTTCCATATAGACTTTTTGTGTTACGAACAGTTTTTTTTGTAAGGTATTTGTGAATGGCTGGCGTTATTTTTTGGTTTTGTTTTGTTGTTTCATTTGAGTCTATGTAAAACTCGGGTCAGAAAAGAGCAATCGAACAAATTGTTGTTAAAAATAACAATAACATATACAAAGTAGATCTATGACGACTTTGGCGGAATCAGGGTAAAAAGTACAATACAATTTGAGTACAGTAAGTAATTCTTAGTTTCTTCGTACTTCGTGGCTATAAGACCTATAATCGTCTCATATTCAATAAGCACGGGTGGAGTAGTTGTTTTATTAAAAAAACACTAGCAAAAATAACATAAAATAAACAATAATAGAAAACGCCCCCAACGTACCCCACCCACCACAAAAAAAGTAACCATAAGACGCAAATGCTTATCATATTTGTAGAGTGTAGTATAATTGTTCATATACCATAACAGCTAAGCCAATGAAATCTCTCGCATATCCTTATCCAGTGATCCAGTTTTAGATAATTTGAATTACTTATGGAGTGGATCTAAAACAACGTTACTCACAGATTCTCCCTGACTTCCCCTGTATCCTTTGGAGCCTGTGGCTCCCACATTTCCCTATTTAAAAAAATAATAATGAAAAATGTTAAATGTGGCTTGGTACTTGACACAATAGAAAAAAAAAA